ACACCAACTCCATATGCTCTCTATGCAAAATACAGAAATTGAATATTTAAGCAAATAGTAAATAATCTAAATATTATCTACGCACTCCAATGTTAAAAGCAGAATTCCTCTGAATTTAATCTGTCAGAAAAAAATACAATGCCCTTTTCTACTCTGTTTTGTAGTATATACATGGTCTCTCATGTAAAATACTGAAATTCTAATTTTACGCAAATCGAAAAAAATCTAAATAATATCTAGGGGCCCAAAAGTTAAAGGAAAATGGCTCTGTATATAGTCTGTTAGAAAAAATATACAATGCCTTATTCTAGTCTGTTTTCGAATATATACACCAACTCAGTACGCTATCTCATGTAAAATATCAAAATTTTAATTTTACCGAATCGAAAATATCTAAGTATTATCTAGACACCCCAATGTTAAAAGCAAAATTGCTCTGAATATAATCTGTCAGAAAAAATATACAATGTCGTTTTCTACTCTGTTTTGTAGTATATACACCAACTCAATATGCTTTCTCTTATAAAATACTGAAATTCTAATCTTACCCAAATTGAAAAAATCTAAATATTATCTAGGCACCCCAATGTTAAAAGCAAAATTGCTCTGAATATAACCTGTCCGAAAAAATATACAATGCCCTTTTCTACTCTGTTTTGGAGTATAATTCAATATGCACTTTCACGTAAAATACTGAAATTCTAATTTTACGTGAATCGAAAAAAACTTAATAATATCTGGGTGTCCCAAAGTTAAAAGAAAATGGCTCTGAATATAGTCTGTAAGGAAAAATATACAGTGCCTTATTCTACTCTGTTTTGGAGTATATACACCAACTCAGTATGCTCTCTCATGTAAAATACAGAAATTCTAATTTTACCCAAAGCGAAAAAATCTAAATATTATCTAGGCATCCCAATGTTAAAAAAAAATTGCTCTGAATATAATCTGTCAGAAAAAATATACAATGCCCTATTCTACTGTTTTTTGGAGTATATACACCAACTCCGTATGCTTTCTCATGTAAAATACAGCAATTCTATATTTAAGAGGATCGAAAAAAATCTAAATATTATTTAGGCACCCCAATGTGAAAAACAAAATTGCTCTGAATAGCATCTGTCAGAAAAAATATACAATGCCATATTCTACTGTGTTTTGGAGTATGCTCTCTCATGTAAAATACAGAAATGCTATATTTAAGCGAATGGAAAGAAATCTAAATATTATCTAGGCATCACAACGTTAAAAACAAAATTTCTCTGAATATAATCTGTCAGAAAAAATATACAATGCCCTTTTCTACTCTGTTTTGTAGAATATACACCAACTCAATATGCTCTCTCATGTTAAATAACAAAATTCAAATTTTACAAGAATCGAAAAAAATCAAAATATTATCTAGGCACCCCAATGTTAAAAGCAAAACTGCTCTGAATATAACCAGTCAGGAAAAATATACAATGCCGTAATCTACTGTGTTTTTGAGTATATACACAAACAGTATACTCAATCATGTAAAATACCGAAATTCTAATTTTACGCGAATCGAAAAAGATCTAAATATTATCTAGGCACCCCAATGTTAAAAGCAGAATTTCTCTGAATATAATCTGTCAGAAAAAATATACAATGCCCTATTCTACTACACGAACTCAATATGCTCTCTCATGTGAAATACCGAAATTCTAATTTTAAGTGAATCGAAGAATATCTAAATAATATCTAGGCGCCCCAAAGTTAAAAGAAAATGGCCCTGAATATAGTCTGTTAGAAAAAATATACAATGCCTTATTCTACTCTGTTTTGGAGTATATACAATAAGTCAGTATGCTCTCTCACGTAAAACACAGAAATTCTAATTTTACGCAAATTGAAAAAAATCTAAATATTACCTAGGCACCCCAATGTTAAAAGAAGAATTGCTCTGAATTTAATCTGTCAGAAAAAATAATCAATGCCCTATTCTACCTCTTTTAAAGTATATAAACCAACTCCATATGCTCTCTAAGGTGAAATACAGAAATTCTATATTTAAGAGAATAGAAAAAAATCTAAATATTATCTAGGCACCCCCATGTTAAAAGAAAAATTGCTCTGAATATAATCTGTCAGAAAAAATATACAATCCCTCTGTTTTATAGAATATACACCAACTCAATATGCTCTCTCAGGTAAAATACCGAAATTCTAATTTTATGCAAATCAAAAAAAATCTAAATAATATCTAGGCGCCCAAAACTTAAAAGAAAATGGCTCTGAATAGAGTCTCTTAGAAAAAATATACAATAACTTATTCTACTCTGTTTTGGAGTATATGCACCAACTCAGTATGCTCTCTCATGTAAAATACAGAAATTTTAATTTTACCCGAATCGAAAAAATCTAAATATTATCTAGCACCCCAATGTAAAAAACAAAATTTCTCTGAATATAATCTGTCATAAAAAATATACAATGCCCTATTCTACTCTGTTTTATAGTATACACACCAACTCCATATGCTCTCTCATGAAAAATACAGAAATTCTATATTTAAGCGAATTGAAAAAAATCTAAATATTATCTAGGCACCCCAATGTTAAAAGCAAAATTGCTCTGAATATAATCAATCAGAGAAAATATATCTGTTTTAGAGTATATACATTAACTCAGTATGCTCAATCATTTAAAATACCGAAATTCTAATTTTACGTGAATCGAAAAAAATCTAAATATTATCTAGGCACCCCAATGTTAAAAGAAGAATTACTCTGAATATAATCTGTCAGAAAAAATATACAATGTTCTATTCTACTCTGTTTTGGAGTATATACACCAACTCCATATGCTCTTTACTGTAAAATACAGAAATTCTAAATTTAAGCAAATCGAAAAAAATCTAAATATTATGTAGGCACCCCAATTTTAAAGGCAAAATTGCTCTGAATATAATCTGTCAGAAAAAATATACAATGCCCTTTTCTACTTTATTTTGTTGTATATACACCAACTCAATATACTCTCTCGTGTGAAATAGCGAAATTCTAATTTTACGCAAAACGAAAATAATCTAAATAATATCTAGGCTCCGCAAATTTAAAAGAAAATGGCTCTGAATATAGTCTGTTAGTATACAATGCCTTATTCTACTCTGTTTTGGAGTATATACACGAACTCAATATGCTCTCTCATGTAAAATACAGAAATTCTAATTTTACCTGAAGCGAAAAAATCTAAATATTATCGAGGCACCCCAATGTTAAAAACAAAATTTCTCTGAATGTAATCTGTTAGAAAAAATATACAATGCCCTATTCTACTCGGTTTCAAAGTATATACATCAACTCAGTATGCTCTCTCATGTAATATACCGAAATTCTAATTTTACGTGTATCGAAAAAAATCTAAATAATATCCAGGCACCCTAAAATTAAAAGAAAATGGCTCTGAATATATTGTATTAGAAAAAATATACAATGCCCTATTCTACTATGTTTTGGAGTATATACACCAACTCAGTATGCTCTCTCATCTAAAATACCGAAATTCTAATTTTACGCAAATTGAAAAAAATTTGAATAATATCTAGGTGCCCCAAAGTTAAAAGAAAATGGCGCTGAAGCTGAATATAGTCTGTTAGAAAAAATATACAATGCCTTATTCTACTCTGTTTTTTAGCATATACACCAAGTCAGTATGCTCTCTCATGTAAAATACAGAAATTCTAATTTTACCCGAATTGAAAAATTCTAAATATTATCTAGGCACCCCAATGTTAGAAACAAAATTGCTCTGAATATAATCTGTCAGAAAAAATATACAATGCCCTATTTTACTGTGCTTTGTAGTATATACTCAAACTCAATATGCTCTCTCATGTAAAATACAGAAATTTTATATTTCAGAGAATCGATTAATATCTAAATATTATCTAGGCACCCTAATGTTAAAAGCAAAACTGCTCTGAATATAATCTGTCAGAAAAAATATACAGTGCTTTATTCTACTCTGTTTTGGAGTATATACAACAACTCCATAAGCTCTCTCATATAACATACAAAAATTCTATATTTAAGCGAATCGAAAAAATTCTAAATATTATCTAGGCACCCCAATGTTAAAATCAAAAATTGCTCTGAATATAATATCAGAAAAAATGTACAATGCCCTTTACTACTTTGTTTTGTAGAATATACACCAACTCAGTATGCTCTCTCATGTAAAATACCGAAATTCTTATTTTACACGAATCGAAATAAATAATATGTAGGCGCCCCAAAGTTAAAAGAAAATGGCTCTGAATATATTCTCTTAGGAAAAATATACAATGCCTTATTCTACTTTGTTTTGGAGTATATACACCAACTCTGTATGCTCTCTCATGTAAAATACCGAAATTCTAATTTTACGGGAATCGAAAAAATCTAAATAATATTTAGGCGCTTCAAAGTTAAATGGAAATGGCTCTGAATATAGTTTGTTAGACAAAATATACAATGCCTTATTCTACTCTGTTTTCGAGTATATACACCAACTCAGTATGATTCCTCCTGTAAATTTCCGAAATTCTAATTTTACGTGAATCGAAAAAAATCTAAGTATTATCTAGGCACCCGAGTATTAAAAGCAAAATCTGTCAGAAAAAGCAAAATTGCTCTGAATATAATCTGTCAGAAAAAATATACAATGCCCTTTTCTACTCTGCTTTGGCGGATATACACAAACTCAAATATCTCTCTCATGTAAATACCGAAATTGTAATTTTACGAGAATCAAATAAATCTAAATAATATCTAGACGCCCCAAAGTTTAAAGCAATATTGCTCTGAGTATAATCTGTCAGAAAAAAATATACAATGCCCTTTTCTACTTAGAGTTGCTGTATATACACCAACTCAGTATACTCTCTCATTTAATAATACCGAAATCCAAACATTACTCTAAGTATCTCATTTATTGCACAAGACCCCCGTGATGTTGTTTTTAATAACTAGGGGATTACAGATGACATTACTCACGATATGACTGCAGCTGTTTGCCGGTCCTGTGATAATGTTTCTAATATCCAGAGAAGTAGAGGAGAATGTTTCTGCCCATAGGCAAATCCTCTGAATACGGCAAGAGGAGTACACCGTGCTGTGGTATGGTCACTCACTAATGTAAACAAGAAAACAGTTATGTTGAATTAAATATTGCAAGGTGTTAACCCCCCTATAATTTTTTTTCTAATTTCAAGTGGGTGAGGAGGACATTTTTGTCAAAATGGCAGAGCTGTAACTACAGCTATTGCCTACTATATAATATAAAAGGATAAAATTATTATTTACATATGATATGATTGCCAGTATCATATTACACCACATTTTCAAAATATCTGGGCCCCAGCAGCTGTGGGCATGGCAGCCAAGCGAGGGTGTCCCTATGCAACCAGGTTGGGCATTGGGGCTGCTACGGGCCCTTTGTGGTTTGTCTGGGGGCTGCTACGGGCCCCCTGGCGGTGGCTGTGGTAACAGCCACATAGCCAGAGGGTCTCTCAGCATCCAGGGAGGGCCTGGCGGCTGCTACTGACACTCTGGCAGGGGCTATGGGCACAGCCACCTAACCAGGGGGTCCCTACGTAGCCAGGGTGGAGCTGGAAGCTGCTATAGGCCCTTGGCGGGAGGTGTGGGGATACCCTGCTCTTCACAGGTACACAGTTTGCACCTATTTCTACATGTGTAGATGGTTTACATAATGGGCACATATTTGTACACATGTACATATGTTACTATCACAATAAACATATATGTACATAATATGTGTACAATAAATATGTACTTTATACGTACCTAAGATAAACAATATGTACTTTTTGGTGATATTATGTGATATCTACATATTATTGATTATATATCTTATTGTGATAATATGTATGTTACCACTGAAATTTTTAGAAATGTACATAGAGTACACTTTATGTACCTATGCATTGTGTACACATTATAGAAATAAATAGGTACATATTTTACAGATTAGGTACATTTTCTCTACATGTGTATTTTGTACACATATGTACAGCAGTGTAAATGTACAGACTATACCTATTTTATACATTTATTTTGATATGTCAATAAATGTACACATGAGTACATTCTGGGATATAATTTTTAGCATATATATTATATAGGAATTACACCGGTGACCAAAGTGGGTTTACACCCAGGTGCGCACATAGTTTATACATGTACATGTTGTGCATAGTATGTACTCATGTACAGAATGTACATGTCTACATTATATATACATAGGTGTATGCAGCATACATATGTACACACTGTGCACACATATGTACACGTGCATATATTGTACATCTGTACATAATGGGTACATGATGTACATGTGTACACATCATATCACAATAAATGTAAATATACATAATGTTTGCAATATGTACGTTTATATTATGTATTACATTTATTGTGATTATATATGCTGCTGTGATATGATATCATTGTGACATTACAAATGTACATATTATACACATTATGTACCTATGCATTGTGCACAGATTATAGAAATAGAAAGAAACATATTTTACAGGTTATGTACATTTTATTTACTTGTGTATTGGGTACACAGAGTAAATGTACAGATCTTACTTACTTTATACATTTATTGTGATTGTGATATATGCCAATAAATGTACACATTATGAGTACATTCTGTGATATTACATTTAGAATATAAGATAGAAATTACTCTGGTTACCAAAGTGGGTGTAAACTTATGTGTGCACATACTTTGTACATGTACATACTGTGCATATTACGTACTTGTGTACAGAAGGTAAATATCTACATTATATGTATGTATGGGTACAGAGCGTACATATGTACATACTATGTACATATATCTACACCTGAATTTATTGTACATCCGTACATAATGGGTCCATGCTGTACATGTAAACACATCGTCATACCACAATAAATGGAAATGTACATAATGCGTGAAATACGTACATTTATATTATGTATTACATGTGTATTGTGATTGTATATGCTGTTCTGATATCATTGTGATATTACAAATGTACATATTGTACACATTATGGACATACCTATTGTGTACATATTATGTACACATAAATGTACATATTGTACAGATTATGTATATTTATTGTACATCTGTATGGTGCACACATATGTACATCACAGTCAACGTACATATGGTACATATTCTGTGCATTGTTTGTAATATTTCAGTAAGAGTACACATTATAAGTATATTCTGGGATATGATTTTTAGTATGTTAGATAAAAACTACTTTCAATATCAAAGTGGGTATACACTTATGTGTGTCCATTTTGTGATATTATCCGTCATATCCTGAGTAGGTATTTCTCTCATTGTGAAAGCAGGTTTACACTCTCGGATTGCTCCAATATCAAGGCAAACTAAAACTCGTCTGTGATGTAGTTAATAATATCCTGAGGACAAAGGATGACCATACCCTGAATATCGCAGGAAGTGTACACCACCACTGTAGTATTGTTTCTAATGTTCAAAAACGGAAAGGATATTACTCCAAATATCTCAGAAAGCACACAAGCCCCCCCGTGATATTGTTTCTAATAACTAGAGAATTACAGATGACATTACCCACGACGTGACTGGGGCTGTATGGTCCTGGAATATTGTTCCTAATATCCAGAGAAGGAGAGGAAAATGTTGCTGCCCATAGGGAAATACTCTTAATACGGCAAGAGGTGTACACCATGCTTTGATATGGTCACTAATGTAAGTGAGAAAACAATTAGATTGAATTAAGCATTGCAAGGAATGAAACTCCCCTATGATTTTCATTCTAATGTCAATGGGGGTGAGGATGACATTTTTGTCAATATGGCAGAGGTGTAACTGGAGCTATTGCCTAATATACAAAAAAACAGAATAAGATTATCATTTTTATATAATATGGTTGCCAGTATCATATTACACCGGATTTGCAAAATAGCTGGTCCTCAGCAGCTGTGGGCAGAGCCCACAAGCGAGGGGACCCCTAAGCAGCCAGGGTGGGCCTGGGGGCTGCTCTGGGCTTTTTGGTGGGGTCTGTGAGCACATCGACCCAGCCAGGGGTCCCCGAGCAGCCATGGTTGGCCTGGGGGCCCCTACGGGCACTCTCTGGCATGGGCTGTGGGCACAGACACCTAGTCAGGGGGTCCCTAAGCAGCCAGGGTGGGCATGGGGGCTGCTACAGACATTCGAGCAGTGTTTGTGGGCACAGCCCAATTGCCAGGGGGTCTCTAAGCAGCCAGGCTGGGCCTGGGGGCTGCTATAAGGGGGGCTTTGGTAATAGCGTGCTGTGCATCGGTACATAGTTTGCACCTATTACTACATGTGTAAATAGTTTTAATATCGGGTATATATATGTACATGCATACATATGGTGTTATCACGATAAATTTATATTTACATAATATGTGCAAAATACATATGTACCTAATGCATACCTAATGTGTACAATATGTACTTTTTTGTAATATTAGACAATATATATTACTGTGATTATATATCTTATTGTGATTAAATATATTTTATCACTAATATTTTAAGGAATGTGCATAGTGTACACATTATATACCTATGTATTCTGTACACAGTATAGAAATATATAGGTACAGATTATGTACACTTTCTCTACATGTGTATTGTGTACATATGAATTTCAGTGTGCTCTCTCATGTAAAATACAGAAATTCTATATTTAAGCGAATCGTAAATAATCTAAATATTATCTAGGCACCCCAATGTTAAAAGCAAAATTGCTCTGAATATAATGTGTCAGAAAAAATATACAATGCCCTTTTCTACTCTGTTTTGCAGTATATACCCCAACTCAATATGCTCTCTCATATAAAGTACCGAAATCCTAATTTTACGTGAAGCGAAAAAAATCTAAATAATATCTGGGCGCCCCAAACTTAAAAAAAATGGCTCTGAATATAGTCTGTTAGAAAAAATATACAATGCCATATTCTACTTTGTTTTGGAGTATATACAACAACTCAGTATGCTCTCTCACGTAAAATAGAGAAATTCTAATTTTACCCGAATCGAAACAATCTAAATATTATCTAGGCACTTCAATGTTAAAAACAAAATTGCTCTTAATATAATCAATGCCCTATTCTACTCTATTTTGGAGTATATACACCAAGTCAGTATGCTCTCCCATGTAAAATACAAAAATTCTATTTTACCCGAATCGAAAAAATCTAAATATTATCTAGGCACCCCAATGATAAAAGCAAAATTTCTCTGAATATAATCTGTCAGAAAAAATATACAATGCCCTATTCTACTCTGATTTGGAGTATATAAACCTAGTCAGTATGCTCTCTCATATAAAATACAGAAATTCTATATTTAAGCGATTCAAAAAAAATCTATATATTATCTAGGCAACCCAATGTTAAAAGAATAATTGCTCTGAATATAATCTGTCAGAAAGAATATATACAATGCCCTTTTCTACTCCGTTTTGTAGTATATACCCTAACTCAATATGCTCACTCATGTAAAATACCGAAATCTAACTTTACGTGAAGCGAAAAAAATCTAAATAATATCTTGGTGCCCCAAACTTAAAAGAAAATGGCTCTGAATATATAGTCTGTTAGAAAAAATATACAATGCCATATTCTACTTTGTTTTGGAGTATATACAACAACTCAGTATGCTCTCTCATGTAAATACAGAAATTCTAATTTTACCCGAATCGAAACAATCTAAATATTATCTAGGCACCCCAATGTTAAAAACAAAATTGCTCTGAATATAATCTGTCAGAAAAATATACAATGCCCCATTCTACTCTATTTTGGAGTATATACATCAAGTCAGTATGCTCTCCCATGTAAAATACAAAAATTCTAATTTTACCCCAATCGAAAAAATCTAAATATTATTTAGGTAACTTAAAGAAAGAAGAAAAATTGCTCTGAATATACTCTGTCAGACAGAATATACAATACCCTTTTCTACTGTTTTGTAGTATATACACCTACTCAATATGCTCTCTCATGTAAAATGCCGAAATTCTAATTTTACACGAATCGGAAAAAATCTAAATAATATCTAGGCACCCCAAAGTTAAAAGAAAATGGCT